TTGTGTGCATATTTGAGAATTGAATTTATGTGTGCTGAATTTGAGTGAATATTATTATATGAAAGGGTTGTATTGAGATATTAGTTGATATACTGTTTTGTTGATATGAATTGTTGTATACGATTTTGGGATATTTTGTAATAGTACGTAATTTGTTATCTTTGTGAGAGTTTGATAAAAAGGGAATTTTTGAAGTATAAACTTCGATTGATTTAGAGAAAAATAAATATTTTCATAAAAGGTGAGCATCACGGGAGAAATCCGTGGTGTTGGTTTTCCACGTCCCTTAAAATGTGGAGGATGGTTAGGTCTACTACTACTCAATTTTTGTGGTTTTGGTTTGAGGTGAATTGACGGTCGGTAGAAAACATCCCGGCTTTTGAGTAGTAATGGTAGTAGTAGCTCCTAATCATTCAGGTTTTGAGGTGGGGTAGTTGGTAGAAAACATCCCGACTACCCGGATCGACTTACTAACCCGGAGGGCTTGGAATACCTTTAGGGGGTGTGCACACTTAAAGTAGTTGTTTCCGTTTCCAAGGAGCAGTTGTGGTACCGGCGATAGTTCCGGGGTGGCCGTACATAACAACGGACCACCGGGCTCAACCAAAGTGTTGAGCACCGCCCTTCTAAATTACTAGGAAGTTAGATACAATGTGATTTTGGGAGAAGTTCAAAAGGGGAGAATTTTGGTGTTTCATGTATTTTGGAATTAATATGGTTTACGAGTTAATTATGTGATTGAGATTTTAAATAGATATCGTTTACTTATGATTTATGATTTATAAAGTGTTTTGAAAAATATTTTATGAGGTTGTACGAATTTATATATATTATTTATTATTATTTTAAAAGGTTAGGTGGAACTTACTTAGCATTATTGCTAATGGTTGTTTTCTTTTATTTTTCTTGTGCTCGTATTTAACAGGAGGTGATCATGTTGATTTTGATGCTGCAATGTTTGAGAGCGCGAATTAGAAGACAACTATGTAGTTCACTAGAAATAAACTTTAATATTTACTTATGATTCGAACATCTTGATTTTTGTTAAACTCATGTTTTGGTAGATAGCCTTAGCATCCAATCATTCACGGATTGGATGTGGCGGTGACATGCCCCTTTTACTTAGTTTTTTATTAATTTCCGCTGCAACTTTTGAAGTTTTAATCATTAAATAAAAGTTCATCTCTATTTCAAAGTATTATTTTGGGTGGAAAATTTGGGGGTGTCACATTAGCCCTGGAGACGAATCCGCCACTTTCCTGAGGCCTCTGGAGCACCTTCTCCCCGAGGCGGTCTTGGACCCCTCGGCGGTCTTGCGCCCCTCCGAGTCTCTCGAGGGCGGAGGTCCGGGGCGGTTCCTTGTTCATGTTGTGGCGGTCCCGGGATTGGACTTCCTGGGAGGCCGTATCTTGGGCCACGACCCCCTCTACGTTCCCCATCCGGAGGACAGGGTTCCCGAGGGGGTGTGGATGAGGGGGAGGCATGATATTCTCCCCGACCAGAGGTTGGAGGGGAACCAAAGTGCCGAAGGCACCCGGATTCTGGGTGAGCGTCTGGATGAAGGCGGAAAACGCCGACTGTACGTCGATAGTGATGACCGGAGGGCTAACTTGGTTCTCGCTCCGGTCCTTCTTTTTGGCCTCAATGCTGAGGCGGGCATTGGGGGCATTCTGTTGAATCTGATGGCGTAGGTCGACAGCCGTCTGGTCCAACCCGGCGATGACGCCGCCCTCAGGAGCCATGTTAGAGGCTTCGAGGGCGTCGACGTCGCCGAGGGCCAGGTTCCTGTCCTCATGAGTCTTGGATTGGGCACGGGTGTTTCTTCCCATTTTGATAGGTGTTTTTAGCTGAAGGGGAGGGTTTCTTACTTGATTGTTCGAACTCTCAACGAGAGCACCAAATGATGGATAGTGTACCCGGGGGGTAGCTTATCCGAGGGGTTATTGCGGAGAATAACTAGAGAGAAGTCAGAGCAAATAAGTAAGAGAGAGTGTATATTCGATATGTATTAAGCGTGGTTTACAATGGGGGGAAAGGGGTGCTATTTATAGTAGTAATAAATGCCAGATAAGGACACGTGTCAGTTTTCTGGTGGTCGAGGGGTCACCTCAACCGGGGTGGCACTGGCACTCGCATGTGGCCGCATTAAATGCGGTGGTTGGATGTGACGTTTGTACTTGGTACGGTGATCCAGGCGCATGTGAAGAGGATATTCTGTCGTGCCTTCGGTTGAAGGGTGCTGGGCCGAAGGCTCTTCTAATCGAGGGCTCCTACCTGCCGAGGGCTGTAGGTGCCAAAGGCTTGGTCTTCAAGCCTTGTTCTTCTGTGATGCCTCTTCTAATCGAGGGCTCCTACCTGCCGAGGGCTGCAGGTGTCGAAGGCTTGGTTTTCAAGCCTTGATCTCCTGTGATGTTTCTGAGCTCGATTCCGTCACTGGTAGCCTTCGGCCATGGGGCCGAAGGCACCCCTTTGCGTATTGTGGGCTGCTTAGAGCTCCATTTTTCTGGGCTTGGTCCGTTTGGCCCTGTTGGGCCTGATTGTAGTAGAGGAAGTATGTGGGCCGGGGGTCCCTGGGCCATATACTCCATCAAGAATGTTGGCAAAGTTCAACCGAACATAGTGTATATAATGATAATAAAAAGTAAAGTTTTAATTAAAAAAAACTTTGTTGGGTAAATAAGATCTAATATAAAAATCATATTTCAATTCGAGACAAATACTCTCTCCGTCCCGAAAAGGTTATTAGCTAAATTGACTTTTCTTGGTCAATGACAATCAACTTTGACCAATTATATTTTTTAACACAAAATTATTTTGAATATGAAAATTACATAAAAATGTTTCATATTCAAAATATTTTCATTAAAGTATGAAATTTATCAATTATATATAAATATAATAGTTAAAATCATTGTCCAAAGTTTGTCACCATTGACTACGAAAAGTCAATATGGCAAACCTTTTCGGGACGGAGGTAGTATGTAATAAAATCAAAAGATTTGATATAATAAGTTTGTGTTGTTTTAAGAAAATTACTAAAAATAAGATTAGAGTTAAGGCATTGAATCACTAATATTACAGACACACTCACAAACGTATAAACATAACTGGTTTTATAATGTATGTTGCCGTTATGTACGTGTATTTTTATATGAAATACGTTTTATATAAGAGTTGTATCTATCTAAGTGAAACTTCAACACTTTGAATAATATTAGGAGTAAATTTGTTCAATATTTTTTTTGAAAGAAAATTTGTTCAATATTAAGATCAAATTGCAGGATATTAGTTCACTTCAATTTTTCTAACACCTTTGAAAATAGAGCATGTCAAAGATAAAAATGAAGACCTTTAACCAAAGCTATATATTCTATTTGAGATCGAATTCAAAAAATATCATTCGTGAGATACTTTTTTTTTTGTGTATTGCTTGAGATCTCTATCAATTGTTTCAAACATCTAGGCATACAAACTCAACTTAATTTGCTCTAAACTACTTCAATTCTTCTAACACATTGGTTTGAAAACAAATCACATCAAAGATAAAATGCACACCATTAACCAAAAGTTATATATCTAATTTGAGAATTCAAAAACTATCATTCATGGGATAGATGTATTTATCAAATAATGCATGATATCTATGCATACGAATTTAAATAGATTTTCTCTAATAACGGATAAGAAATGTACTCACAATAGAATTTAGATTTTCATAAAACTCTTCTTCAACTTTTCTAACACCATAGCATGACATGTCAAACATAAAAGGGAAAATTCCCTAAACAAGAGTGAAAAAGTTTTGAAATTCCAAAATAGGATTACCATGTTTTTTATTCCTTAAAAAGGAATATTTTTTGCCAAGTTTGACATTACGAGACTTTAAACTAGATGCACCTATTTGATATTGCTTGAGAACTCTTTCAAATGTTTTAACTTTAAATATTTATAGTAATTTACGTATTGTTAGATTATATTAACTCATAAATTAAAAACTAATTAAAAGAGGTTATATTAACTCCTAGGTCATACATTTGTAGCAACTAGATTCTTACCCGTGCGATGCACATGATAAAATTTAGTAAAATGCTAGTGTATCATTTTTTACATTAATAATAATGATATAAAAGTTTTATTAAGTTATATTCTATGAAAGATTGATAAGAGAATTGAGAATAGACATAATATAAATAAAAAATTAAATAGATTGAAAACTACGATTTTGAAAGAATTCTTTTTTCGAACCTTTACAATTTGTAACTTTTGTCATTATAATGTGAAGTTAATCATGACCAAAGGAATGTTTTGAGGTTGCTTCTATTTTAAAGAAGCGTTTTTAAATTGATTTTGGAATAGTGCTTTATAGTAAAAGTTGATTGTATTTGAGAAAAATGTGCTAAATAATGGCCCATGCTATGTATATAGATAGATAAGTACACAACTGATTGGCTCATGCTATGTATATTTATCGATGAATTATATAATCTTTAGCATCTTTCATTTCCTTGACATATTTTTCACATTGCCGTTTCATTACCATGTCACATTAATTTTCATTATCACAATCATGTTTCATCTCTACCATTGAATTAAGTTGATCCTCTTTTTCATTAATTCACAAAATTATATCATGTCTCCCGTCATTCCAACCTAAATTCCAATCTTACGTTTTTGTCTGTCCCAATGATTCATTTATGGCAAAGAATATGTGATTCACAACAATTTTATTTTCTTTGTACAACTTTAAATCATACAATTTTCACTTTTTTAATCCATGTGTGAAGTCAAAAAATAATTTGATTATTGAATCAAGATTCCAATAATTTGATTATAAAATCAAACAAGTAACAATTTAATGTTTTTCATTCTATAAAAACTCTCACCCCGTGCATAGCAGGGTGAGAAACTAGTCTAATCTAATCCAATGATTCCAACCAATCCCTTGAATATAATAAATACTTCGTGTGCAAATGCAACCAATCATTTAAAGCCCAAAACATGGATAACAGAGGAACAATAGACCGGGATTGGGTCCGGCCCAAGGCACACACAACCAAAACGCCCTCGGCGCACGTTAGCGCTCATCCCCGTTGTTTCTCGGTCCTTCCATCGTTCCTCTACGCCCTTTATCTTTCTCGCCTTCGCTTGGAGTCACATAATCAACAATCCCTCAACGCATCCCTCTGGCTGCGCGGCTTCTTCCTGTCTGTGTTCGTACCGGCGGATTTTCCAGATCTGAAATCTACGCATGTGATCTCCTCGTAACTGTGATCGATTTCGGCGTTTTTGATCGATTAAACCGGTTTTTCGACATGTTTTATATCGATTGAGGTATTTACACGCCGATTTGATTCTATTTTTTTTATTTTTCACGATTTCTGTGTCTGCTTGTTTGATTTTATAGTCTATGTTCCTTTTATTATCACCCGGTTCTCCAATCTGAATTTATTTCACGGTGTGTTCATCGATTTTTATCATAATTCCGTGTAATCGAAATTCTTATCGTGATCTGGGGTTTTAAAATAATCGAAATTCGGAGGTGTTCATCTTCTCATAAGCACCGCGCTTATCACAATCAGTGAAATCTTCTTACATTTTGCCTGAAGCTCCACTGGATTGTCTTATAAAGAGTCGAAATCTGAAATTTGTTTTTTCAAAGATCCAGATTTTATGATCACCCGGTTCTCCAATCTGAAAAATTTTCACGGTTAGTTCATCGATTTTTTATCATAATTCCGTGTAAAATTTTCAAACCTACATCTTTTGTCACCAATCAATCTTTGGTTGTTTGAGTTCTTTTTCGTGATCTGGGGTGTTAAAAAATTCAAAATTTGGAGGTTTTCCTCTTCTCATAAGCAGTGCGCTTATCACAATCAGAGAAATCTTCATACATATGACCTGAAGCTCCATTGGATTGTATTGTAAAGAGTCGAAATCTGAAATTTGTTTTTTCATTGATACGTATTTCATGAGTTTCAAAACACAAGTAAAAAAGCATTACGGACTCTTCATAAATTTGTTTTGTTAAATATCTGGATTCAATTTCCTGAATTTCATAAGTCAATAAGAAAGCTCTACCGGATTGCTAATTTATCATTGAAAGTTTTAATCAAAACATACCTACAACATATCCTGAGTTATTGGGCTAGTTCTGTTTTTTTTGGTTTGGAGACTGGAGGGGCGCCTATTGATTCCCTGCTAGTTCTGGGGATTTTTTTTATCTGTATGTGTATTTGACCTTCAATATTTGAGATTTATCTACAGTTAGTTGTAAGTAGTTGTAATGATGCTCTACAGGTATCAGGTTTTCAGCAATCTGTAGTCATATTGTTGCATCTGAAGAGAAATGGCGAGATATGCAAGTGAAGTAAGCTTCAAGATGCCTACTAGATGTGGTCTGACTAATATTTTCTTGCCAATTGTGTGCCTGAAGTACGCTTTATGCAGGAACATGAGGGATTGGACTATCTGGAACTACGGAAAAGGCTAAAAGAAGAAATTAGAAATAACATGAAGAAGGAGTCGGGAACTGCTACCGGCTCACGCAATATCAAGAGTTCTTCATCAAAGGATAAGTAAGTAATCTGGATATGGCCTATTATATGTTGAAGTTTTGGAATATTACTGAGTTTATTCTTGATTACTGTTAAGTGAAGCACACATCCCAATACATCCCATAACATGTATCGATTCATGTTAGCCGACCCCAATATCTTTTAGGACTAAGGCTTGGATGTTGTTGTTGTTGTTGTTCCTTTTTGAAAAATTTTGTGTGGCTAATATTCATTTTACCTTTTCTTACTCATCTACCACCATACATTCCCAATGGAAGAATTTTATGGGACGGGAGGGAGTAGCTAGTTTATTTGATTATCTTGTTTGATTTGTTGTGTCTAATAAGTAGGATGCTAGTTGCTTTCTTTAAGCTAGCTACCCAAAATGTGTCTTTTGAGATCATAGTATGCATCTGTTTACTCTTATGCCTAATAAGATGGCTGGTAAATACTATGTATTTATGCCATTTTGTGGGTGTGCATTGTATGTTGAAGTGTTTTTTTTAGAGAAAAAGAGTTCCATTTTTATAGCCTTGTTCTCATTGTACTTGCAGTTTTGGTTCTTTCTTTGGTCCATCACAGCCAGTTATAGCTCAAAGAGTAATTCAAGAAAGCAAGGCCTTATTAGAAAACCCTGATTTGGCAGCTAAGGTCATGAGGACCAGTAATCCTGTATGTATTATATATATCACTTGTTTTTTAGTGCTTATTTGCTTTGACATTGAATAGAGCTATATTGATCTAACTTATTTTCATTTTCGAAGGTTGTAGCCTTCTTTAATAACCAATGTTTGATGAAGTGTAGTTTGACATATGCTTATATCTATGGCTCCTGTTTCCTTTGTAGAATGGCAAGGTTCAGGGTTCCAACTCTGTTAGACCAAAGGCCAATATCAGTGGCATTGCACCGATTGTTTCTGATGTGGTAATCACTTATTTGATGCATGTTGTGCATATTTTTTATACTCCGTAATACTTTTTCGTATGTGGATCTCACCGTGTTTGATCTGCAGGCAAAAGTGAAAATCCAGGAGGTAAGGAACGCGAGGGATTACTCATTTTTATTATCTGATGATGCTATTCCGCCTCCTGCTCCTCCAAAACCTTCTTTTCCCAAAAAGATCTCTGCTACTAGTCCAGGTATGTCCTTTTATCTATTTATTAGTTTGTCAATCATATCTGTATAATACACATAGTACTTTATGTAGACTTATACAGTTATTTTATCGCATTGAAGAATCACGCTCAGCACAATCTTTACCAAGGGATAGGAATCTCTCTAGCAGCAGCGTTGGGAGAAAACTTCCCAATGGTCTTGAAGTGAGGAGGCCTCCTCTTCCAGGTGGCACACAACTGAAACCTAAAGCTGGTTTACATAAACCGGTCAATGTCAGCAAACAAAATCTTCCAGCAAGACAACCTATTAAAAGCAATGTCAATGGTCGTGCTCAGCTGTTACAGAAAAATCTTCCTTCAAAGGCTTCAACGTCAGATGTAAAGAGACCATTGCCTAACTTGCCCAGATCAAATCCTTTGAAACAGCAACCTACTGCCAATTCAAAGCAAGCTTTGTTGCACAAAATGGCATCTCAAGAATCCAGCAAGTCTAAGATGATTCAGAAACCATCAACTGGGGCATCCTCAAGATTCCCCCCTGTGGCAATGCAGAAACATGCAGTGCCCTCCTCTAGACCTCATGTGGTGATGCAGAAGCGAGTGGTTCCGTCCTCTAGACCTCAGGTATTGTTAGGCTGCTGTATTAGCCAGTCTATTCCTCGTTTCCGTTGGCTGTCCATTGCTAAGTTCTTCTAGTATTTGGTACATAATATAACACTTTGATACTGGCAGATGAATCAGCCTGTTATTAGAAATCCAGACCGTCTCCCAGCAAAAAGACCTTTAAGAACCGATGATGAATATGATGATGGGTATAGTAAAAACCGGGAGCGTCGCCCAGCAAAAAGACCTGTGAGATGCGACGATGAAGATGATGATGCTATCAACCCGATTATGCAGATTAGGAACTTCTTTCGGTAATTAACAAATAACAATTAACATTTTGTTTTTAGCCTTATGGGGAAATGATGTCTTTTGGGACTAAAATTTGTAGTGTGTTTTTATATACATTTATAGTTCTGAAATGATATCGGGTGATGTTTTTTTGCAGGTATAATCCCAATAAATATGTTGACGATGATGATGATCGTAATATGTTGGCTACTTTTGAAGACATAGAGAAAGAGGAATGGCACAGGTGAGTTAAAATATTTAAAAGTTTTTTCTGTACTTAAAAGTTTTCACACATACTTATCAAGATTTTACAACAAAAGTTTCTTCCGCCGGCACACCTTTGGCAATCTTCTACATTTCCACTTTTCCCCTCAAAATGTAATTTAAGATCTGTTTCACATCCAAGTTATTCCCTGTTCCCTTGTTCGGACAAGCTTTTAAGTTTTTTTTTTATATCTTGGGAAAATGTTGTTCACAACACATGGACATGCATGGCGTCTGAAATTGCCGCTTATATATGTGGCTCTTGTTTCAGTGCCAAGATTGCCAGGCAGGAGGATGAGGAAGAACGCATTAAGATAGAAGAAGAGGAAAGAAGGGAACGGCTGAGAAAGGCCAAAAAGCGCAAGATGATGGAACGGTAGTGAAGAGAGACAATCTTGCATGGAGCAGCTTCTTTACTCAAAAGAATTGTGCAATGTATCTCAGATGCGCGCAGTTGTGCAGAGCAGGGGTTAGAAGTAGGGAGGAAATGCTGCTGTTGTACAATGCTTAATGAAACACATGAAGGCAGCAGTTTCTCCATAGGCTGTTGTGTAATTCCTTTATTTATTAAGTATGGGAAAATTCAATTTTTTTTATTTTGACGGCTTGCAATTGCCATAATACCGTCCCTTTCCCTCAGGCTCAAAGGACTCTTGGCAACATTTGTCTTTTTTCTTTGTAACATTTTCCAAAACTTCTGTATAGTATTTGAGTTAATGACTATTTCAAGAGATCCATGTAAGGACTAGTTTATGATGTGGACTCTTTCATAATCGTAGAATGTGACTGGACAGTCACAGAGGGCATATCAGTTTTCAGGTGGCTTTTTTGACTAACAATTTAATTTTGTTTCACAATTAACTATGTTTCTAGTACAATTAGGGATAAATAACCAGAGAATTTTAATTTATTTCACTACCAAGGATGTTTTTGTTGAATTGATTCAGAACAAATTGATTATCAGAAAAAAATAAAAATAAAATATTGCATTAAAGTTTTTTTTTCTGAATGCTGGAGTGACTCTAGCTACTGCCAGCTAGGGGTGGACTCGGGCTGGGCCAACCGGCCTGGAACCGCACCGGCCCGCCACTGTGCGGGCCCAGACCGGCCCGGTGAACCGGTTGGTTGGCCGGTTCGGGCCACCCGGCCCGGTGGATTCTCGGTTCGGGCTCGGGCCCTTCAAAAGGTGAACAGGCCCGGCCGGTTCGGGCCCGGGCCGGGCCAATTTTAATTTTTTTTGAATTTTTTTGAGTGTTTGGGTTGGGCTGGTTATTTTGGGCCATTTGAGGTAAATAGGGTTGGTGTGGGGGTGAGGGGGAGGGGTGGGGTTAACTAGGAAAAGCCCAAAAAAAAAAAATATCCGAGACCTGGCCCGGCTCGGCCTGGACCCGGGGGTTACCCGGGCTGGTTCCGGGCCTCCCCTTCTTGAATCGAGGTCCGGTCGGGCCTGAACCGGAACCGGTCCATGCCTACTGCTAGCAACTAGGGATGGACTCGGGCCGGGTGGGGCTGGGTATTTTGGGCCATTTGGGGTGGTTTGGGGGGTTGGGGGTGGGAGGGGGGTTAATTAGGAAGAGGAAAACAAAAAAAAATTATAATGGGCCCGGCCCGGCCTAGACCCGGACCGGACCCAGTGGTTACCCGGGCCGGTCCCGGGTCCAACATTTTTGATCCGCCGGCCCGCCCGGGCCTAGGCCCGACCTGGACCCGGCCCGGACCTGAGTCTATCCCTACCAGCAACTATTGCACTAATTAGGGTTCCTTCTTTTCTGAATACTGCCAGCGTGCCATGACTGCCACCAAACAAATTATCAGAAAACAAATTGATAATACAAGTAGAAATCCAGACCGTCTCCTAGGGGTGGACTTGGGTCCGGGTCGGGTCCGGGTAAGCGGTTCAGGAATGGTGGACCTTGGACCGGCCCGGGTAGCCACCGATTTGGATTTTTTTTTTGCTTTCCTAACCCCCCCCCCCACCCCCACCCTCCCAAAGCCCCCAAACCCATCCTACCCATCAAGCCCAACCCGGGTGGAACCCCAAAAATGAAAAAAAATAAAAAAAATTCAATTTGACCCGGGACCGGGCCCGACCCGGCCGGGCCGGTTCACCAAATTTAAGACCCGAGCCCGGACCCGCCCTACACCCCGGGCCTAGGCTTGAACCGGACCAGGACCCGAGAACCGGGCCGGTCCCGGTCCCACATAGTAGCGGGCCGGGCCGGTCCACGGGCCGGGTGTCCCGACCCGAGTCCAACCATACCGTCTCCCAGCAACTATGTTTCTAAGACCAATTTGAATTAATTCAGAACAAATTGATTATCAGAAAAAAATCAAAATAAAATATTGCACATTTGAAATAACGGTGAGATTTTACTTGGGGCACTTTTCTGCCTTGGCTAAAAACCACTTATATTAAACTCATAAAAACAAACAATAAACATTCGACTTTCCAATCCAAACATTCAAGCTTCCAACTATACAAACCTTTTCTCTATACTCTTTAGAGCCCATTGGTGCACTCACCCTCTAATAATAGACCGTTCAATAACGAACAAGACCAATTGATGAACATGTGAGGGATTCAAACATGTTATCAGTCAAAATAACATGATTGCTTTCTCCCAACCTAATGATTAAAATCACAAACTGAACATTCAACCTTCCAACTATTCAGGCCTTACCTCTACGCTTGCCCAATAACAAAGAAGATTAATCATTGAACGTGTGAGAGATTCAAAGATATCGTCAACTAAAATAAATCTGATTGCTTTCTCCCATCCTAATAACTAAAACCACAAACTAGAAATTATACCATAAGTGTTGAACGAAAAAATAACAGATGAAACAAACAAAAATAACTAAAAAAAGCATCAAAAGCATAGTTGCTTGTTCCTTTCCTGACGGCGGTCCAGGAGGGGACGAACCAATAATACTCCACCCTCTTCCTTCAAGCCGATTATAGACCAACTTGTTGTCCCTGACTTCATTTTCTATCCTTTCATAAGCTTGAGCCAAAATGTCGATCTCTTCCTGCCTCTGAGTTATGCAATTATTCTTCACTTCCCTCCTTAGTTTTGTTTTCACCGGCTGAAAACTCAAAATTTCCGCAAGCCGAAAACCTTGAACAAAGCCGTCACATCCCTGCTCGAGACCAAGTCGTGTGTTGAGGCCTTCAAATACAGCTCCTCCTCTCACCTTTGCCACAAGGAACCTGTGAACTAATGGAGACCAAGCGATGCTATGAGTTACTGCTAGCATAAACAAACTGCCGGACAAAAAGGGAAGAGCCACAGCTGGAAATAAACCAAATCTTAGAGAACCCTAGGTACCCGTCCGCAATTGTTGTGAGAACATCCACCGAAGGTTGAGCACATAACCCCTTTACCTACTATCTTGCAGCATAAATAACAACATTTATTTCATTGTAAAAGGTTGTCAAACTTATATACTTAGCAATAGACTTCTATCTAATTCTCCTGTAATCTTCGGCTGGATTTAGAGGGTCGAAACTCGGGCTCGACATATGTATGTTGTAATCGTTCTAAGTGTCCAATAGAAGTACTGGACTCACTTTGTCTCTTATTTCCTTGTTATTACTTCTGCCTCATTCTTGCCTTATACACTCACTAACTAATTTATCAAAGAATATGATGAAAGCTCAAGGACTCTGTTGGATCTTTGGACCGCGAGGACTTAACTTCAACAACTAGGATTGATTATATGAAATGTTTAACATTTTATTAACCACTAGAAAAAAGATTTACCTCTCACAAGAGTTGAATTTATTATAGATTCACATTTATAATATCATATGGAATATTCAAAAAAATTAAATGAGTCGGCCGTAAAAATATTATAAAATCCGTATTTTTATTCAAATAAATTATGTAAATGTGCAATGTACTCTAGTTTAACTAAAATTGATATCAATGTAATGTACCGTTGTCATCACTAAACTTTTTTCTTAGATAGTAAAATATTACAAATACAAGTATGTTATACTCCGTATTAGTTAACTTTGTCAAAAAAAATTCTGAAATGTGTAAAAGTTAATGTGTACTCCCTCCGTCCCCTTTTAAATGTCCCGGAAGAGGGTGACACGAATTTTAAGAAAAGTAGGTTTGTGTGGTTGATATTAATAGATAAAGTAAGAATAATGTAAGAATAAAGTAAAAATGATTTTGAGCCACACAAACTTTACCAAATAAGGTATGAGACAATTAAATAGGGACATCCCAATATGGTAAAATGGGACATTTAAAAGGGGACGGAGGGAGTATATGCTAAACATGTACTTCATCCGTCCCCAAATTAAGTTCCACTTTTTCTTTTTTGGGGTATTTCAAATAAATTTCTCACTTCAATTCCGTTCTATATTTAGTAAGTTTTTGTTATTCAATTACTCTTTTACCCGCTTATTAATTCAGAGCGTATTAGCAGTTTAGAACAACATAAGTAGAACGTAGTATTTCTTTCTTCATTATATTAGTACCTGAATTGATTGTTTCATTTTCTTTTTGCTTTTTTTGGCAATTTTTCCTAACCTATTACTCCGTATATTATATGTTTAATGTTAAGGTCAACCTCCTTGAAATGAGTTGAATTCAAACGTGTAACTCTCTGTTTGAAAAAGTCACAGGGATACCATCAGATCATAAAATACTTTGACTGATTATTTCATTTAAAAAGTAAGTGTGTGATAATTTCAGAATGAAATAGCGTCTACAAATTTATTTTGCTAATTTAGGGTAATTTGGTTCTTCGAACTCTGGCCCGGGTGGAAAAGTCCAAAATGCCTCTCAATTTCATCCCCGCTTTTCTTGTTTTCATCATACATGGCAAAGAGGTAAGTCTCGATTGAGTTTCTCTTCACATGATCAATTGCTTGGTGTGTTACATTGAGAAAGATGTATTTGTTAAAATTGAGAATGAAGTCATAATGAGGCGATTTCAGAGTATGGCACCTCGAAGACAAAGATTGCCGCCTCTCAATGATTGTCTTTCATTTGCCGCGTCAGGTTCTAATCAAAATTAAGGTACTATTTAAGTAGTTGTTTTATTTAAATTTTATAGTTTTGTTTATTGCTATATTCGTGATGCCTATGATTTTTTTTCTAGACTAGTATATCATTTCTTTGTTAATTGTGCCCCTGCGAGTCACGTGTTCTGGTTCCGCCACTGCATGTACTCAATCCGTCCCGAAATTAAGTTCCACCTTTTCTTTTTTGGAGTGTTTCAAAATAAATTTCTCACTTCAACTGCGTTCTATATTTTGTAAGTTTTTATTATTCAATTACTCTTTTACCCGCTTATTAAATTAGAGCGTAATAGCAGTTTACAACAACATAAGTAATACTATGTACATAGTATTTCTTTTGTCATATTAATGCTTGAATTGATTATTTCATTTTTTGTTTTTTGGCAATTTTTCCTAACCTATTATAATATAAGAAGTATGTTAAAGCCAACATCTTTGAACTGAGATGAGATTCAAACTGACCTCCTCCTTAAGAGTGTAAGTCTTGATCGATCCATCAGACATAATGTACTTGATTGATTATGTCATTTAAAAAGTAAATGAAATAATCAGGCATAAGGTACTTGACTGATTATTATATACTCCTTCCGTTCCACTGGACTTTGCTAACTTTCCTTTTTAGTTTGTTCCAAAAAACTTTGTCACTTTCCTTTTAAAACAATGTTTTTGTGGTTCAATTCATTTCGCTCTGCTCTGCACAAACCTCAACCATACAAATTTTACTATTCTAATTACTTACCTAATATCAACTTGGCAAAGTTGGGTGGGATGAAGGTAATATGTTATATAAATTTCTCACTTCTACATGTTTGATCCATCACACATAAGGTATTTGACTGATTATTTCATTTAAAAAGTAAATGTATGATAATTTCAGAATGAAATAGCGTCTACACATTTGTTTAGCTAATTTAGGGTAATCTGGTGCTTCGAACTCTGGCCCGGATGGAAAAGTCCAAAATGCCTCTCAATTTCATCCCCGCTTTTCTTGTTTTCATCATACATGGCAAAGAGGTAAGTCTCGATTGAGTTTCTCTTCACATGATCAATTAGATTCTTGTAATAGGTGCTAGCGTTTTCCGGCGACGCGTCAAATCCGCCCGCCGACGGCCACCCGCTCTCGGAGACGACGATTCTCACATTCTGGCCACCGGCCTTTTGTACCGCGGCCCGCATGGAATCAAGCATCGCATCGAAGAGGTTTCGGTACCCGGCCGAATTCGGATTGGTCTCCGTGAACAAAGCGTACGCCAGAGTGTTATGGGCCGGGTCGCCCTTCCGGCCGAAGTAAGGGTAAATGTTGGCCAGCAGCGGCGATCCCTTTTCGGCCAGGAATTTCACGATCGGAATCATCAGATCCTTCGCGTCGTCGTTGAACACGCCTTGATTTGGCGGGTAGGTGTTGGTCAATACGGCGGAGTAGGTGGCGGTCGTTGCCCTAATTCGGCCCTGCAACCCGGCAGCGGACAAGGCGTCGTGCACATTCTTCAAGGCGGGAAGAACGTATTTGACGTATTGAGAGGAATCCGAGTTTTTGGAGTAGACTTCGTTCCCGACGGCGACGTATTTGAAACTGACGTCGGAATAAGGGACGATGTTATTCTGGACCCAGCGGGTGGCTCCGGCTGGATCGGCGAGTTCAGGGAGCCTGTCGTTGGAAATGTCGACGATTACGTCGATGCCGGTGCCCCTTAAAGCGGCGAAGACTCGCGAGTCGGCGCTGTAGACTCTTAGCGCTTGGATTCCATTCTTCTTGTAGAGATTTATGGTATCAGATTCCGATGGTAAGTTGTCGCCGTTCTTCCCGTAACAAACTCCGATCGATTGCACCCCTGCAAATGATGGTCAACAAAATTGAAAATAATTTTATACGTGTACAATAGAAAATTGAATAGCCAATTGAAGTATTTAAATGAACCTAAACGTATGATAAAAAAAGGTAGATTCTATGGTACTCATAAGATCCGTACCTTTGTTCACATGGACCAATGAAAATGTTGCAGTTGAATTATTTAAATCAATATTAAAAATGATATAATGATGTAGACCAATCAAGTGAATGATAAGTACGGTACCCCATTTTTAAATGGGTACCAGAGTTGTCACCTAAAAAAATATGAACCTAAACGTTAATATGAGGATCAATTTGCAATTTTTACACGTATATAGTCCATTTTATAATCTTTTTTGGACCTTATCAGCATTATCCATTATTTTTTTAATCAAGGACTCAACTTTTGATACTATGATATATTGAGTTGACTATTATATTTTTGATAAAAGTCAAAGGTTGTATCGTGATTTGAGATGAGTACTAATAAAAAAAATGTAATTTGGAAGATGGTGGGTGGCTCTATTTTACGGCTTATTAATTTTACTAATCAATTTTCCTCCTAAATATGTAACTTTTGATTTCGTGTGCTGAGGTGTGCAGTAATCAAAATACATAAGATTGAAGTTTTTTTTAAGGAAAGATTGAAGTTATTGTAGAATATCATTTTAGTTATTTTTCTTTGTATTTTTTCTTTATTTTATTATTAGCAAAATATATTAGTAAAAATGAACCACGTTCATATGAAAACAGTGTTTAGACTCATATTTTCCTGTATTACACCATTGGTAATAAAATACACTCAACATATTTTTTTACATATTAATTTAGAAAAACATTAATTAAATTATTATGAGTAATGTTTTCCTTTTATTTCCCCCCGAATAATTATGAAATAAAAAATACAGATTTCAATGTAAAAATCAATAAATTTCATTATTTTTGTAACATATTTCGGTTAACAAAAATGAACTTAGTTTAAGTAAAGTTTGATTATGAAATATTTAGTTATTTGTGGAGGCCACATGAATTAAAAATTGGCATTTCGTGTTTTTTCGAGCTCAAGAAAATTTCAAGAATTAAAATATCAGATTTTTTTCATTTTATATATTAAATATTAGTTTCATTTAAAAGATCATAAAAATTCAGGAATTTTGATATAAAATTTATAAAAATTTGGGGTAATAAAGAGGCAGACATGATGCAGGGATGACGTTAGCTCCACCACCATGCATGCTCCCATCCTCCCTCTCTCATTATCTTTTCTTTTTCCTTTTCTTTCTCTCCCTCAAACCACCCTCCATTTACACTCTATTTAGCCGACCACTACATAAAATTAGAATTTCAAAAATTTCATCTTAACATTTTGGATTCTTAATACTACATCACTATAAATAGTTAAAGATGTCTATCGAGAATTTTGTTAAACTGGTTATAAAATACGCAATATCAATTAAATGTATAATAATTAATAATACATAAGTCCACATAAAATAATCCTATATTAATTATTTTATCCAATTATATTATTTGTGAAAGACACAAAATTTTCAATGTCTGATGCAAAGACTGCTGAGAATTTTTTTACTTAGATTGAAATTTCATGGTTTAGTCTGATCTGATTTGATCTAAACTAGTTTGATCTGGAAGATGTCTTATAATTGTTTAAATATGATCTTATGATCTGATTTGTTAAAATATGAGTTTCTTTGTC